TGGCTCAACAAAGGAAAAAAAATGCTTGCTTAAAACATTTTTAAGTTTAATCTGCATTATTAACATTTTCTTTATCACCTTCTTGAGTCTAGACAATCAACCAAACAACTAATCAAGCTCTAATTTGTAGTGTTTGGTGATTTTCCAGCTATGTTTACAGTGAAAATTTAATAATCAGCTCTCTCAAATGGTTCAACCTGTCTACAGGATAGAATTGCAAGCCCCCATTGTCTGCACATAGAAATCTATCTTGTTAACAGGGCAGAATAATATTACTAGTGGGATTCAAAAATACACCACGTCCATGAGTTTAGATTCCACTTGGCTGGGGCTTTTTATGGCCAAAGAAGACCAGGAATGGCCCAAGGTTGGCAGTAGGGGGAGAAGGGTAGGAATGAAGTTGCCTTGGAGAACCTGGAGCCAATTAAGTAGGCCAATCACCTGGGGCAGCTTTGTCTTCTTTTAGGTAAAGCCTCCCCATGTTGTAGGTGAAAAGAAAGAAGCTACATTAGAGAAATGTTGGTCCTTTCACAAGATGTTTAGGCAAATACAACACACAAAGAAGATGAAAAGTAAACTTGGGGTAGGATGGGAAGCACTAGCAGTTGAAGAGATGAAGAAAGGACATATGCAGAAGATAGTGCTAGAGCTGATCCTTGAGGGAAACTAGGGATTCCAAGAGGTAAAGATGAGTAGAAAGAACAGTCAAGGAATGGGGGATGGCCATTGTGTGAGGAATAGCAAAAAGAGTGTGAAAGAGGCATAACATGTAATAAGGATAGAAAGGTGATATACAGCCAGGTTTTGAAGAGTTTCATATACCCTTAAAAAAAGAGTCAATATTTGATCCTACAAGTGAGAGGTAGCCACTAGAGTTTACTGAGTAGGGAGGTGATACAATCAAATCTGTACTTTGGGAAAATCACTTTGGTAGCTATGTGGAAAATGGATTGAAAAGGGGAGAGATCTGAGGCAGGGAGACCAATTAGGAGGTTAGTGCAATAGTTCAGCTAAAGTAATGAAGGCCTAAACTACTGTGATGGCTCTGTGAGTGGAGAGAAGTGGATCAAGACATTAAGAGATGTTGTAGAGACAGAAACACAAAGACATGGGAACTGATTGGATATATAGAGTAAATAAGAATGAAGAATTGAAAGTGATGCCAAGGTTGTAAACCCAGATGAATGGAATTTTAGTGGTGTTATCAACAGGAAGAGAGAAATATGGAAGAGAGTCAAATTTCAGGGAAAAAAAAGTTAATAAATTCAGTTTAGGATATGTTGGATTTGAGGTACCAAAAAGCATCTCAGTTTGAAATGTCTACTAAGCAATTGGTGATGTGAGACTGATGCTCAGGAGAAAGACTAAGTCTGGAAGTATAAATCATCTGCATAAAGATGAACCCATAGGAGCTGATAGGGTTACCTAACTCCATGCAAACTGAAAAAGATGATAAAAGATGTCAGTCAATGTCAGAGGGAATACAGGGAAAGATGCACCTTGATACACTGTTGGTGGAGCTATGAAGTAATTTAATTCCAAACTCCATTTGAAATTATGGAATAATGACAATGTCATTTTTCTCTTACTCAATAACTATGGCTCTCAGGGGCATCTAGGTAGCGCGGTGGGGGGCAGCTAGGTGGCGCAGTGAATAAAGCACCAGCCCTGGAGTCAGGAGGACCTGAGTTCAAATCTGACCTCAGACCAAATACTTGACACTTACTAGCTGTGTGACCCTGGGTAAGTCCCTTAACCCCAATTGCCTAAAAAAAAATAATAATTATGGCTCTCTATTAAAAATGCCTGGAGCTGAGAGATGGAGTGTCTTATTCATAGAATAGCAAGGAGGGCAGTGTCATTGGATCTGAGAATACATGCTGGGGGGAGTAGTGGTAAGTTATAAGAACACTAGAAGCATTGGGGAGGACCAATGTTATGAATGGACTTAAATGCTAAACAGGATTTTGTATTTGATCTTAGAGGTAATAGGAAGTCACTGGGTTTTTATTGAATAGGTCAGACTTAGGCTTTAGGAAAATCACTTTGGCAACTGAATTTTGGCAGATGGACTAGAGTGGGGAGAGACCTGTGGCAGGAAGATCAGGCAATAGCCCAGGAGTGAGGAGTTGAGAGTCTACAAAAGGATGGTGGTAGTATCAGAGAAGAGAGGGGATGTATTCAAGAGATGTTGCAAAGATGAAATCAACAAGCTTTGGCAACAGATTGGACACTGTGGGGATTGGGGTGGGGTGGGCTGAGAGTTAATAAGGAATCATGGAAGACATGATTTGAGGTTTGAGCCTGGAGGACTAGAATGATGTGGAGGACCGGAATGATATTAACAGGGAAGTTTGGAAAGGGGTGAGGTTTTAGGGGGAAAGATAATTAGTTCAGTTTTGGATATGTCGAGTTTAAGATATCTACTATACATCTAGTTTGAAATGTCCAATAGACAGATGGAGAGTTGAGTCTGGAAGTCAGTTAAGAGGTTAAGGCTGGATAAACAGATTTAAGAATGATCAGCATTGAATCAATAGGAGCTGATTAGATCAACAAGTGAAGTAGAAAAGAGGAGAGGGTCTAACACAGAGACCTGAGACCCACAATTAGTAGATATGACCTGGATGAAGGACCAGTGAAGGAAACTGAAAAAGAATGGTCAGATAGGTGGAAGAGAACCAGGAGAATGTGATATCTGGAAAACCTAAAGAGAAGAGAGTATCAAGGAGAAGACGGTAACTATAATGGCAAAGGCTACAAAGAGGTCAAGAAGGATGAGGATTGAGAATGGAGTCCGGAGTGGGGAACCTGTGGCCTCACAGCCACATGTGACCTTCTAGGTCCTTGGGTGTTGCCTTTTGACTGAATCCAAGTTTTACAGAACAAATCCTTTTATTAAGGTGATTTGTTCTGTGAAGTTTAGATTCAGTCAAAGGGCTGCACTTAAGGACCTAGAGGGCCACATGTGACCTTCAGGCCACAGGTTCCCCACTCCTGGAAGAGACCATTGGATTTGGCAATTAAGAGCTCATTGGAAGCTTTGGACAGAACAGTTTTGGTTGAATGATGGAGTCAGAAGACACAATGAAGACAGTTAAGAGGAAAATAAAAGAGGAAGCAGAGACAGCTATTGGAGATGGCCTTCTCAAGAAGTTTAGTCACACAGGGCAGAAGAAATATGGATTAATAGCAAGGATGGAAGGATCAAGTGAGGAAGTTTTTTGTTTTTTTTTAAGTGAAGAGGTTTTTTTTAAGGCTAGCAGTGCCATGAGCATATTTGTAGGCGATAGGAAAGAAGCCTAAGATGGAAGATGGAGAAACTGAAGGTAAGTGAGAGAGTGGGGATGATAGGCAGTCTGCTGAAGGAGATGAGATGGAATGGGTTCCCTTGTGCAGGTAAAGGGGTTAGTCTTGACAAGGTGTAGGAAATACCTCTTCATGTGAGACAGGGATGAAGACAGAGATAGTGGCAAAAGGCATTTGAGTGATATATAATGAAGAGAGAGAAAAGGAAGCTCTTGGAAAATGGCTTTAATTATTTCAGCAAAATATGAGCCAAGATTCTTAGCTCAGAGAGTGGAGCAGGGTGAGTCATCACTTCCTTTAAAACACAATATAGGGGCAGCTAGGTGGTGCAGTGGATAGAGCACCAGCCCTGAAGTCAGGAGGACCTGAGTTCAAATCTGGCTTCAGACCAAACACTTGACACTTACTAGCTGTGTGACCCTGGGCAAGTCACTTAACCCCAGTTGCCTAAAAAAAACCACACACAATGTAAGCACTATCTTCTGCTAGAAGCCTTTCCTGATCTCCCCAACTGCTAGTGCCCTCTCTTCCTAACTTGTATTTAATTAACTTATATTTATCTTGTCTTTATTTATCCCACATATACTTGTATATTGTCTTCACTGATATAATACAAGTTCCTTGACATCAAGGATTGTTTTATATTTTATCTTCATATCCCCAGTACCTCATACACCACCTGGTACAAACATGTCACTTAATAGGAGTTTGTTCATCGATTTACCAGTAAGATATGTGCTAATACTAGGAACAATGACTTTGAACTGATATTTTCAAAGTTCCCCTTTGCAGGTCAGCAGGTTTATATTAGGAGTACAGCTATGCTTATGTGATACAGTAAAATTATCTGGTCTACACAGAAATTGAACCCATAATCTTACCATAGTACTCCAATCAATTGAGTTAGTAATGCAAAGAGCAAATATGAGACTGGATAACACAAATTATAGATAATTTGTCTGGTGGTTGTATTCCTAAATCCAAAAGCTCATTTTTCTCATCTATCCTTTCTGGATATCATCTGTAAGATAAGAAGGCTGGACTCAATGGCCTTTTAAGGTCCCTTCCAACTCTAAATCTATGATCTTATATTGCCATTGTGCCACCAATGGTAACTCTTTGTCTAGCCAACCACCTAGTTCTTAGTCAATCTAATTGCATTATTTTTCTAGTCCACAATAATAGTATATATTCTTAAATACTATTAGAAGAATAGCATTATTCTTCTCCACAATCATATGAGACCTTTTATCAAAAGCTTTTTCTAAAATCCAGGTATACTATATGTATAACACTCCCATTTTGGGGAACTCTGGCCAAATCAAATTATGGCAAAACACTTAGGTAGGACAGGATTATGGAACCATAATCCTAACTGGAAGGTTCACATTTTAAACTGATATCCATAAAAAGATTTAAAGAAATACTACTTCCTAACTTAAATCTAGTAGAATTTGTTAGGAAAAAATGAAATACTAAGGTTAAAAAAAAGATTCAAAGTTAATTTTAAAAGAAAAAAATTTCTAATTAAATCTTTACATTATCATTACTCATAAGGTTGGTCTCAACAACAGTCTTACAAAAAGTTTATTTACCTCTTGATCTTCATTCATTATGTAATATTTGCACCCACTGCCCCCTTTCATTCATGCTTAAATTTATCAGGCACTAGGAAGACATAAAAATCATACCTTTGAGCCTGGTGGAGGTGCCAAACCAAGAAACGAATATATAATATTTTCTTCTTTTGCAGAGAAGAAAGATTCAAAATCCTTAAATAAAAGAGAAAAACTGGTCAAAGTTTACTTGCATATTTATGAACAAATACCTTATATTTAAGAGGCTAGTGTAGTGGAAAGAAGGCCAGCCTCAGAAGTTAAGATTTGACTTCAAATTCTCTCTCTCATAAAATGACTGGGCAACCTGAGGTAAGTCACTTAATCTCTTGGTGTCCCAGTTAACTCACTAAAACTATAAATCTGGTCTGAATTGATTAAGGGAATTTACTCACCAGGAGTCCCTACAGCAATAATCTCAGAGCTTTTTTTATTATTATTTCTGCACATTTACATTCAAAGAATGAAAAATCTACTACATTTTAAAAGATAGAAAGACATTTATAAAGATATGAGAGTTAATCCTGAGTCAGCTGTCTATACACAGACTACTGACTCATTAGAGCCAAGAATAGAATTTATTTAAAAATAATAATAGTGTATGGGAAAAAATATGCCACCGAATTAAGATTTAGTACTGATTATTTAGGCAAATTATTGAAAATCAAAAATTGGAAATGAACAACAGAAATGACACCAATACCAACTATAATGTTATCTAAAAGTTAAACCAATGAAACTAATTGCAACAAAAAAGTTACAGAAATGATTTATTCAGCAAATATTTGACTTGCTTGCCAAACTGAGAAAGATGTTTTCCAAAGGCAATATTGGGTTTAGAATATAAATTCCTTTCTAAAATCTCAAAGCTGGTTGATAATTATGAGCAGTATCACCTCACAGAGCAAAGAGAAGTGGAGGATAAAATCAGTCTAAAGAAAGCTTGACAAGATATTCAGCCAAGTAAAGTCATCCCAATAGTATTCAAGAATTAAAACTGAAAGAGTACTACAAACAGAAGAAAAATACAAAAATTTTTCAAAAATCATTATAACTATTTTTTCCATCAAAGAGAATAGAACCACATTATTTAGTGTTCTACTCACAATTCCTCAGGAGCTTACCAAGGGACTAAAAATGGCATTGAAAAAAAAAAGGTGGAAAAACAGCCAGAAGGGATTAAGCGTATATAAAGAAGATTAATGTTAGAGGCAATACAATTGTGAGTGCATTGCTGTTGGTGGTGGCAGTGTCTCACTCTCCAGTGACCTCAATTTACAAGGTATCTAAAAGATAGGAAGATAACAAATGCATGGAGAAATAAGTGGATCTTACTTATTTTTTAAAAAAAGAAAAGATCAATAACTACCCAGCTATATCTCCAAATTTTGCAAAATTTCAATGAGGACCATTTATTTATACACAAATTGAGGACATTCTGAATGAGGATACTAACAGGACACAATATTCAAAGCAGGACCATCTTGTTACCATCTCCCAATTGCCTGAAAGATGCAGTAAATATAAAATCCCTTTGAGCATATTGTTTATTGGCTTATGAAAAAGTGTTGCACTTGGTACAATAAAATGCTCTTGGTAGAACAAAGGCTCTTTTACAAGCTGTGTCACATCGATATATTTAACCCAACAATATCTTCAGAGATATAAAAGAAGAAAAAGGTCCATAAATAAAAATATTTTAGCATATACAAAAACATGTATAAGTCTTTTCATAGCAAAAAATAGAAACTAAGGGGTTGGCCACCCATTGAAGAATGTAATATTGTTATACCACAAGAAATTACATAATGAGCAGTTTCACAGGAAACAGGAAGACCTGAAAGAAGTGATATGGAGAAAAGGGAGCAAAACCAAGATGATGTCTACAATGATAACAACATTACAAACAACTTTGAAAGACTTAAGAGTTCTGAGCTCTGCGATGACAAACCCTGATGCCAGAAGGCTAAAGATAAATCAAGCTGGGCAGCCTCTCCTGACAGAGAAGTAACAGACTCAAACTGTATAAAGAAACATTTTTTTTATATGGCCAATGAGAGAATTTGCTTCACTTGGCTACATATATTTGTTAAAAGGGTTTTCTTATCTTTTTTTCTTTTGTTCATTGTGGTAAAGAAAGTAGCAAATAGAGAAAATAAATGCTTGTTAATTAGAAAAAAATAATAAAATTAAATGAAAAGAATAAACAAACAAAAAGGAGTTCCTTTCTCACTTGTTAAAATGTTACCTCTTTTTGCTATCCAAGCTATACAGAGAATTATCACAAATATGTAACACCGAAATCTATAGAAAAATGGTTAAACAATATGAACAAATGGTTCTCAAAAGAATCACAAACTATTAATAACTATATGACATGTTGCTCCAAAATTCTAAAAATAAAGGAAATGCAAATCAAAACAACTTTGAGGTTCTACTTCAAACCCAGTAAATTGGCAAAAATGTCAAAAGATGGGAATAGTCTATTCTGAAAAGATTATGGAATGATAGATACACTAAGACACTATTGATGGAGCTATGGGATTGGTCCAACCATTATGGAAAGCCATCTAAAATTATGCTAAGAAAAGTGACTAAGATGTCTTTATATACCCTTTGACTCAGACATCCCACTATTAGGCGCATATCCTATGGAGGTGAAAGATACATCAAAATATTTATTGCAGCATTTTCTATAGTGGCAAAGAAAAGTAAAAAAGTAGCTGCCCATTGATTGGAGAATGGACAGACTGTGATACATGAATGTAATAAAACATACTGCTCCTTAAGACATAAAGAATATGCAGAATACAAGAAGGCATGGGAATACATATGAATTAATGTAAAGTGAAGCCAGTAAAACTAGGAAAACAACATATATAATGAATACAACATACATAATGAATACATATATAATAAATATAATGAATACAATAATAATGCAAACGCAAAGAACAGCAACAACAAAATCAAAATGACTAAGCTTAGTATTGAAGAAATAAGAGAATACATTTCTCTCTCTTCTTTGCAGAACTAGGTGACTAGATGAATTTCTCAAATAGTTAAATGTATCTTCAAACTCATTTATTTGAAAATTCATGTTGTAGGGGAAAAAATCCTATACTATGTGTTTGGGGTGGAAGCCTACCAGAGGTGATTTTATTAATTCAATTACCCTAATCCAAAGAATCTCTGCTTAGAGAGAAAGAAAATCCATCCTGCCTTTGAAAAGTCTTTCTGATACAGCCTGTTCTGACACAATTTTTAGTATTCCCAAATAAAGACATAATTTCTTAATAATATAAAACAAAGTTACAAAGTCATATTAAAGTCCAGTTAACATTATGCTTCATCAAACAGAATAAGTTAACTTAACTTTTGGCACACCCCAGAGAGCTGTCTTCCTAAAACCATGGAATCCTTCTTTTCTTTTTTTCCTTTAAAAAATATTTTTGGGGGCAGAGGCAACATGATGGAGTAAAGGCAGAGAATCACCTTAACTTTCCCAAACTCTTCTCCACATAATTTTAAAATAATGCCTCAAATTGAATTCTGGAGTGGCAGACCAAAAAAAAGGTCAAGGTGAAACAATTTTACATCCCAGGACAACTTAAGAGGTCAGCAGGAAATGTCTGTCTTAGCTGAGGCGCTTGGCCTAGAGCCCAGCATGGACCACAATATGGGGGTGGGGGGGAGGGAGAGAAAAGAAGGAAGTTGCAGAGCTAGTACCAGCAGCACACCTTGGAGGCAATTTATCAGTAGCATCAGTGGCTTTGGAAACTTTTGACCACTAGATAATGAGGAAAACTTCACAAGGGAATTACAGAGGACCCCTTGCTGTCACATTGCCCATATGCAGGTCTGGGTGGCAGTCCAGAGTTAGTAAGAGCACTACCTCAGTAGCACTTGGGGCTGCAGGGATGGAGAGGCCCTGGTCACAGTTCCAGGGTGGAAAAGAGTGCATGTGGTTACACATAGACTAGAGAACAAGCCAGGAGAACAACAGTCACATATCTAGATCAAACCACCCTGGAAGAACCAAAAACCTACAGATTTCCAGAGTTAGTTCTGAAAACTACAGCACAAAAAAAATGGAAGCTTGGGACAGTGTCCCCTCCACCCAGGAGCAAAGCCCATCTTTAACATAAAGTTATGTTAAAAAATAGGCTGAAAAATGAGCAAACAAACAAAAAGAACTTGACCATAGAATGTTCCTATGGTGACAGGAAAGATCAAGCCACAAAATCAGAAAAAGATAATGAAGTCAAAACAGTTACATGTAAAGCTTCAAAGAACAATGTGAATTAGTCACAGGCCCAAAAAAAATTCCTGAGAGGTCTCAAAAAGGAGTTTAAAAATCAGAAAGGTAGAGGGAGAATGCAGAAAAGAAATAAAAGTGAAGCAAGAAAATTATAAAAAGTGAGTGAACAGCTTAGTAAAGGAGGCACAAAAAAGGAATGAAGAAAATAACATATTAGGTAAAAGAGGCACAAAAATCTAATGAAGAGAACTCAAAAAGTAGAGCAGACCAAATGGAAAAAGAGGTACAAAAGTGACCATAGAAAATTTTCCCTTAAAAATTAGAACTGCACAACTAGAAGCCAATGACTCCATGAGATACAAGGAAACAATAAAACAAAGTTAAAAGAATGAAAAAATAGAAAATGTGAAATATCTCACTGGAAAAACAACTGACATGGAAAATAGATTCAGGATAGATAATTTAAGAATTATTGGACCATGCAAAATCCATAATCAAAAAAAAAAGAACCTAGACATTATGTTTCAAGAAATTATCAAAGAAAACTGTCCTGATATCAAAGAACCAAAGGGTAAAACAAACATTGAAAGAATCCACTAATTACCTCCTGAAAGAGCTCCCAAAATGAAAGTTGCAGTAATATTATAGCCAATTCCAGAGCTCCTAGGTCAAGGAGAAAATATTGCAAGCAATCAGAAGGAAACAATTCAAATATCAAAGAGCCACAGTTAGGATAACACAAGATTTAGCAACTTCCACATTAAAGTAGTAGATGGTTTAGAATGTGATATTCTGGAGGGTAAAGAAGCTAAGATTACAACCAAGAATAACCTTTACAGCAAAACTGAATATAAACTTTCAGGGGGGAAAATGGATATTCAATGAAAGAGAGGAC